GCTGGGAAGGGCATCCGATTCTTGGAGGTGACATTTGAGCTGAAACTTGAAGGATGAATGCACGTTAACCAGATGAAAAGGAAGGGGAGACTGGAAGGCAATTTCAGGGGAGAGTCTGCTTGAAGGCGAGGATTTAAGAAAGATCATGACCAATCATGTATGTTCTCCACGAAGAATCCTCAGACGGCTCCCTCCCCATGTGGCACAAAGCCCTGCTCACTCTCCAGCCTCAGCCCCATTTCCAGGGGGCCCCCAACACTTCAGATGCCTTGTACTTTTCTCTGCACATGCAGGGCTCGTGATTTCACCCTCAGTGCCTTGCACAGCCTTTCCTCCTTGTTTCCTGGAGTGATTCAGCTCAAGCGTCTGTGAACTTCTCTGTCTTCCCTGGTCAAAGTGATGCTGCCCTCGGACCCACGCGCAGTGGGCTCACACACGCACCATGGATTTGTTTCTGTGCCCACTGCCTTGAGGGGTTGTGCCAAAGGTCCTCATGAGTCTGGTCTGCCTAATGCCACTATGTGTTCCTAGTGCCAGCAAAGACCTGACACAAAGTGGGCCCTCAGAGAAAAACAGCTGGGAGAGGGTGGGGAAGGAGGGAAGGAAGGAAGAAGCAGCCAGCGGTTGATTTCAAGGTCACACCACTGAGACTTCACAGTACTTACGTTGGACTCAGAGACTATTTAAATGCTTTATTATGATATAAGCACACTATTTTTTTGTGGACATGCATTTCATTTTCAAAGCAAGATTTGGTGACATGGAAAATGTCCTATGTTTTTTCATTGTTGTTCAAGGTTGTATTGCATTTCAGAATCTACCCCTATAATGAACTCATCCTCAAACAAATGAAGAGTCTGGGATTCTGGCTTCTTCAAGCCTGTCCCCTCCCCTCCCCTCCCCTCCCTGTGCAAGGTTCTGAGATTTCACTGCACACAAATCATGTCTGCATCTCAGGCTCCCGAGGGCACTTCTGCTTATTTGTTTTTCTTGCAAAACACCCAGATTAGCTTTCAAAATTGCAGCTAAATCTAAGGCAAATAACTTACAAGAATGACAAGGGTGGGTCCCTGAATGGTTATTACCTGATTTGTCCCCAGGTGCCTCTGTCTCGGCCACATTCTCCAGCTCAGGTTGGCATAGCTTCAGAGTTGTTCAGTCAATAGCCTCCATGTCCATCAGCAGGGTGTCAGCCCAGTGACTTGTGGTGCAAGCACAGGATCTGACACTCTGCAAACAGTAAAAATGGTGTCAAAGGTCCATGCTCGCTGACAGGGGAGAACGTTCCTGACATCCTGCGAGGTGGAAGCACATAGGGTTCTTTATGCAGAAAAATGATCTGAAATATGAAAACCAAACATATTTGTTATTTTTTCTTATTTCTAAAATTTTCAAAGATTTTAATCATGAACTCAAATTGTGAAAAAGAAATAATTTTTAAAAGTTAAACTTTTAAAGCACGAAGATTAAATATATAGTATTATAGTTTATCATGGGTCGTGCAGATATTACAAGGTATTACATTACGAGGTAGATTTTACAAGCCAGGAGGCCTGGATTCCCCAGCTTTTGTCACCTGGCAGTGGTGACAAAGACTTAGCTCACCCTGACTGGTGTGACACAGTTGGTTGGAGCGTTATCCCGTATTCCAAAAGGTGGCAGGCTCAATTCCCAGTCAGGCCACATACCCAGGTTTCAGGTTCAATCCCTGTTGGGGCGCATGCAGGGGGCAACTGATAGATGTTTCTATCTCACATCGATATTTCTCTCTCTTGCTCTCTCCCTCCCTTTCTCTCTAAAATTTTTTTTTTTAAAAAAAGAGTCTTAGCTCAATTGCCTTACTTCTGGGGACTCTTCCTGCGAAACCGGTATAAAATGCCATCTCCAAGGGTTCCCCCAGTCTACTGGAGCCCACCCCCCACTTCTTCCCAGGAATCACGATATGGTATTGTGATGGTTTTCTCATAGAGCACTCTGCACCCTTGTGATGGATGAATCCGACTCCTTGCTCCCAAATCTACTTTGCATGTTGAATAAATGAATGACTCAACCCGCTGATGTGTGTTGTTTACTATGTCATTGCCCTTCAGTGTCCTCATCATTAAAACCGGGATCAGTGCGCCCATCGAGAGTTGCCCGAAGGGTTAAACGAACGCTCTGTGCACTCGCTGCACAGCATGATGGAGATCCGTGGTCTGCACCAGGAGGCACATCTGACAACCAGACCTGGAGTCCATACCACACCTTCTCCCTCCAGCCCATTCTCCGGCCGTTCACTAATACAGAAAGTTTCCTTTAAAAAATCATTTTGCCCATGCAGGGAAGAGGAGTTGTGTGTACAGTATTTTGTTCTGTTAAATTAGAATATGGTGGTCCTTCAGCCACCAGCTGACCTACAAGGTCTTCCCCAGAGGGTGGTCTAAACAGGCCCAAACCTCGTTCTCCCAAAGCCCAGACTGGATTCTCCCCACAGCAACATTTTGAGCAACACAACTGTTTTCTTTTATTATTATTTTGTACCTTTCTAAATTCTCACACAAGGATATGTTTCTTTTTTTTTTCTTTTTTTTTTTAATTAAATCTTTATTGTTCAGATTATTACATTTGTTCCTCTTTCCCCCCGCCCATAACTCCCCTCCTCCCAGTTCCCGCCCCACCCTCCGCCCTCACTCCCCACCCACTGTCCTCATCCATAGGTGCACGATTTTTGTCCAGTCTCTTCCCGAATCTCCCACACCCCTTTCCCCCCCAGGAATAGTCAGTCCATTCCCTCTCTATGTCCCTGATTCTATTATAATCAACAGTTCATTCTGTTCATCAGATTATTTATTCACTTGATTCTTAGATTCACTTGTTGATAGATGCATATTTGTTGTTCATAATTTGTATCTTTACCTTTTTCTTCCTCTTCCTCTTCTTAAAGGATACCTTTCAGCATTTCATATAATCCTGGTTTGGTGGTGATGAACTCCTTTAGCTTTTCCTTATCTGTGAAGCTCTTTATCTGACCTTCAATTCTGAATGATAGCTTTGCTGGATAAAGTAATCTTGGTTGTAGGTTCTTGGTATTCATCACTTTGAATATTTCTTGCCACTCCCTTCTGGCCTGCAAAGTTTCTGTTGAGAAATCAGCTGACAGTCGTATGGGTATTCCCTTGTAGGTAACTGAGTTTCTTTCTCTTGCTGTTTTTAAGATTCTCTCTTTATATTTTGCTCTTGGCATTTTAATTATGATGTGTCTTGGTGTGGTCCTCTTTGGATTCCTTTTGTTTGGAGTTCTCCACGCTTCTTGGACCTGTAAGTCCATTTCTTTCACCAGGTGGGGGAAGTTTTCTGTCATTATTTCTTCAAATAGGTTTTCAATATCTTGCTCTCTCTCATCTTCTGGCACCCCTATAATTCTGATGTTGGTACGCTTGAAGCTGTCCCAGAGGCTCCTTACACTATCCTCGCATTTTTGGATTCTTTTTTCATTTTGCTTTTCCGGTTGGGTGTTTTTTGCTTCCTCGCATTTCAAATCATTGACTTGATTCTTGCGCTCCTCTGGTCTGCTGTCGGGAGTCTGTATAATATTCGTTATTTCAGTCCGTGTATGCTTAATTTCTAGTTGGTTCCCCAATATAAGATCGAGGGTCTCATTAGTTTTCTTGTAGATCTCATTAAGTTTATCGGCGGCTTCTAAACAGTTCTTGAGAGACCTTAAAAGTGTGGTTCTGAACTCTATATCTTCCATTGACAATTTTGTCCTGTTTCTTTGTCTCCGCATTTTGTTATGCTTCCTTGGTGCACCCCCTAGTGGTCTTTGTTCGCAGTCTTATAGTTGAATCTTGATTGTTGTAGCTAATTCCAGGGAGGGTTTGACCTCCAGGCCAAGTGGCTATGAGAATCAGCTGTGTCAGAGTGAGAGAACTTCTGTCCTCTAGGGAGGTGCTAATCTAGCCTTTGCCTGAGGCTATCCGGCAAATGCCTGTGTGCAGGGCTTGGGCGGGGCGGGTCGCACAGGATCAACAGGGTGGGCCGGAGAGCGCAGTTATGGCGGCTCTCAGTCCTGTCCCCAGGGGCTCTACCTTTCTGAGTCCCAGCACCCGCTGCAAAGCTCAGAGAGAAAGCTGCACTCGCTCTGACCGAAGCCAGACAGTCCCGCTTCTCCCGTTTGAGTCTGGGTCCCTAAAGACTCGCCCGGATCTGGAGCTCAGGGTCTGCGACTCCCTCCCGATTGAAAACGCCAACCGCGCCCTCCACCGCCAGCCCGCTCCGCGCACTCCGCACCTCAGAATTTGACTTCAGCACTGCGCCTCCTCTGAGTGTCCGTATGCGTTTCTCTTTCCTCCTAGTTGTAGGACTTACACTCAGCCAGCGTTCCTGTGGTTCTGGGTAATGTCCCTTCCGTTTTTTGGTTTCACTTTTGAAGTAGTTGTTCAAAGCAGCAAACTCCGGCGTTAACCTATGCCGCCATCTTGGTTCTCCAAGGATATGTTTCTATGATCTTTAGAAGAAGGGGAATGAACAGAGAGAGAGAGAGAGAGAGATCTGTCAGCTGCCTTCTGTACAAACGCTGACCGGGGATCAAACCTGCAACTTTTTGGTGTACAGAACAATGCTCCAACCAGCAGAGCCACCGGCCAGGGCTATTTTTATTATCCTATATAATAAAAAGCTAATATGCTAATTGTCCTCTCAACCAAGAGTTTGACTGGGAGTTTGACCAGGGGGCGGGGCGGCCAGCCAACCTCCCACGTCCCCTCCCACCAGCCGGCCAAGCTGATTGGCCCCAATCTATCAGGGCAGGCTGGCCAGACCCCACCTGTGCATGAATTGGTGCACCGGGCCTCTAGTTTTGAATAAAAATCCTTCTAAACTGTCTTGTAAATGACTACAATAATGCAAACAGTTTTGTTAACATTTTGTGTCCAATTAGGTTCACTATGTTTTCTTTGGGGCGGGGGGGGGGGGGGGTGGGGAGTGGGCGGGCTCCAGTGGACTGGGGGAAACATCTTAACTTCAGATACAAATTGTAATGATAGCTAGCATTTACTCTTGTTACTTACTATGCTGCAGACGCCATTCTGAGCTTTGTATATCTATTTGCTTATTAATTCTTCATAACAACTATAGGAGATGGGTGCTCTTATTATCCCCATTTTTTACGTGAGAAAATCGAGGCTCAGAGAAGGTAAGTGAGATGCCCAGGGTCACAAAGCACAACATATAAACCCCAGCACCATCGCTCTGGAGCCCACGTGCTTGACACCACCCTACAGCTGTCCAGGCAACGCTACACAAAGAGCTCGCAGTGAAAAGGAGAGCTGAGTGTGAACTGTGCGTCACTTCTTATTCTGTTGCCCAGTGAGCACACACATAGTATAGAATATAGAACATATTGAAAATAAAACAGAAAAAAGGAGGGACACTAAATCTGCCCACTGTGTGGATACTCCTCCCTTGCGCATAATATCCAGAATAATGGAGCGATTATGCATATTAGGAAAGCCATCAACTGGTGCTTGGGTGACAGTGAAGCAACTGTGACAAGAGGTTGCTGCTGAGGAGAGTGTCTAAAGGGTGTATTAGGATTGTAGTCAGATCACACTAAGTAAGGACTGTGTGTCTCATGCAGTCACAGAGCATCATGGGGGGGCCTGGCTCACCCCCATATGTACCCTTTGGATCATCCTTTAAGTGCCCTAAAGTTCTCTCTCATTCCCTCCCTCCCTGAGAATTCTCTCCCAGCGTCCGCATGACACACTTTTCTCCGAGCTGCTGCTTCATAATCTCTCAGATGTGAAGGAGGATTTAAAAGCCACTGGGAGTGACCCCCGTACCCACAGCACAGGGATCACGCCTACCCTGCACCCAGGCTTCTCCTTGCTCCTCAAGCTGCTAGGCATTTGCTTTTGCTCACTCACTCATTCTTTCACTCATTTATTCATTCACTCAGTGAATATTTATTGAGTGACTACCGTATACCAGATCCTTAGCCCTCTAGGACCTGGGACCTAATGGAAGACGGACACATTAGAAGGGTATTACAGCCCAGCCAGTGTGGCTCAGTGGTTTAGTGTTGACCTATGAACTAGGAGGTCACATGCAAGCTTGGTCCCCAGTAGGGGGTATGCAGGAGGCAGCTGATCAATGATTCTCATCATTGATGTTTCTCTCTCTCTCTCTCCCTCTCCTATCCTCTCTAAAATCAATAAAAAATAAATAAATAAAAGGGTATTACAATGATAATTGTACCGAAGCAAGTTGTGAAGGAAGAGAAGAGGCAGCTATGAGAAAGACTTGCAGAGGAGATGGATAAGATTTAGATGAGACGGGTAAGACCTCAAGAATGAGGAGTGAGATGGACATTATTGCAGGCAGAGGAGCATCAAATAAAAGGCCGCATTTGTGGCTCTCCGGACCATCACTGTGGCTACTGAGAAGGAGGAACTTGTCAAGAGATGCACCCAGAGCAGCAGGCGAGGGCAAGCGCAGATCCGGATGGCGCAGGGCCACAGACAGGACGTGGGGTTTTCTCCTGACTGCAACACACAGACAGTGAAAGGATGTGAGGCAGGAAGTAGCATGTGAGGGAAATAACTATCTGTGCCCTCGAGGAATTCCCAACACTATGATTAGGTTATGAGCTTCAAAACTTTAATTTAGCTTTGGTTAGAATGAAGAGATGAAAGATCACACTGATATTTTACTAGAGGGCTTGCGAAGCTATAATCAAGTTGATAGCTACTTTAGAATTCCAAGTTCTCTGGCTATTACCCTTCTAAGTAAAGATAAGAACGAGCAGGAGAGGGAGTGATCATGGTCTGGGCCTTACAGGGACAGAATGAACGGATTATATCAGCAGAATAGGGAAAGGTCTTTCTTAAATGTAAGCGGGCATAGGTTGTTTCTTACTGGCATAAATTACTATTTCTTTCCTCACTGTTTACTGGCAAGGATCACAGAAGCTTCATGGAGTAGTACATTCACTACAAAGCCTTTATTTTTCACGATACTCACACCTTAGATACTCGACATTGCCTTTGTTTTCTTAGCCCATTCATTGGCAATCCAGCCCATGGCCCCCATCAGGCCTGCCCCGTCTCTGTATGGCCATGTGTATTAACCAAGCCTTTTGCTCTGTGTTCTGACGTTTTGGCTTCTGGGGCCTTGAGGACCCCACCCAGGGTTAGCCAATTCCTTGTCTTACTGCATTTCACAAATGTTGCATTTTTTATGAATTGAAGACCAGACCCTCCACAAGCAAAAAGATTATGATTTGCTTTATTGTGATACCCCCTTTATGACATTTATGGACATTATTACAGGCAGAGGAGCATCAAATAAAAGGCTGCATTTGTGGCTCTCCAGACCATCACTGTGGCTGGGAGGAACTTGTCAAGAGATGCAGCCAGTGGTCTGGAACCAAACCCAAAATATCTCTGGGGTATTAGTTTGTGATCTCTGCCATAACGTAGATGACGTGGTAGTTATTTTATTTGCTCACTGAAGCTATGAACATGTGTAAATTCACCTACTGTTCTCTGTGTGGGGTATAGGTCTGCTGTGGTCTGAAAGCTTCAGAACCTCTGGGTTTGGTTTTCTTCCTAGTGTCTACCCATAACTGAGTTTCCAGTGTTTGATATTTTTAAAAAAATAATCCTCACTAAGAACATTTTACACTGTGACTCAGAACACCCACATAGATAAGGGAAACACATTTTATGAAACATTACTCATCTTTATGCTGTGTGGATCACTTAAATGGTTTCCTCTTCGTCTCCCGTTTTAGAATATACTGCTTGTCATCTACTGTTTACACCACCCATTCGTGAGTCAATGTGCACATCGCAGTAAACGTCACCATCCAACAGATTTAAATCCAAACAACACAAAATGTTTCTCTTCTTCACAGTCTACTGATGAGAACAAACATAGAAATAGATAGTAGCAATCAAACACAAACAGAATACAGATTTAAAACAATGCTCTAAGAGCAAACAGGAAAAAGAGGTAATTTAAAAAATATATATTTTTTTACAGAGAAAGAAAGGGAGAGGACAAACAACAACATTGATTCATTGTTCCACTGGTGTATGCATTCATTGGTTGCTTCTTGGATATGCCCTAACTGGTGATTGAGCCCACAACCTTGGTGTATTGGGTCTATGCTCCAACTAACTGAGCTACCGGCCAGGACTAATTTTTCTTCGTGGAGTTCTTGGATAGGGTTTCATAGAGCAAGTAAGATTTGACCGAATCTTGAAGGATTGTCGGGAAATCATTGGTAGAGAAGCAAGAGAAAGGTGGGATTCACTCCCTTTCAGAAATCTATGCTCTATAACAGAACCTCCTGGAGGCTGAGGACTGGTGTTATTCGATTGTTTATTTCCAGTTCTCAGCATGTGTGACACCAGCAGGTCTCACTAAGTGCTTGGTGTGGGTTCCCACAGTAATTACCCCAGGACTTATTTGGGCCCAACCCTATTCACCACTAAATTATGTAAATTTGAGACTCTATGTCCTCCCGCCCCCCCCCCCCTTCATCACTTTTCACTTCCCGTAATGTCTATTTTTCTTTTAATCCATGCAATTCACTTTTGTTAAAGGCACACTGTGAGTAATGTTTGAAATGGAAATCTCAAATTGTTTTTTACTGCTCTATCTGCCAGATTTAGTTCTTGAGAAATTCGTCCGACAGGACCCACCAGCCAAAGACACACTGTATCACTGTTAGTCTTCCAGCTCAGGTCCCTTTGTCGGGTCTACAATTTCCAGCCTCAAGGACCCAGCACCATGACATAAGGCCTAGAGGCCAGGCAGGGCTGCCTGCTCCATGCCTCCTTTCATTGTCCTCTCCCCGCTCCGGGCCCATTTGCCTCACCCTCTTACTACACTGAAGCCAGGAGGGAACCTATGGCCCTCTACCTCCTCACACGGACACTCACAAGGCTCTGTCCTGCACACTACGCTGTGCGAAGTCGGGTGCCCTCTCCAAGATTCCCGCAGATTCCTCATGGTCTCTTTGTCTCTGAGTCCCAAATCTCCAAGAATTTTTTAAAAATATATTTTATTGATTTTTCACAGAGAAGAAGAGAGAGGGATAGAAAGTTAGAAACATCGATCAGCTGCCTCTTGCACACCTCCTACTGGGGATGTGCCTGCAACCAAGGTACATGCCCTTGGCCAGAATCGAACCTGGGACCTTTCAGTCTGCAGGCCGACACTCTATCCACTGAGCCAAACCGGTCAGGGCTCTCCAAGAATTTTTAATATCACTGTGTTTATGCCCCATGCAGGACTCTTTCCTCTGCCCCATTTCCATGATTTGCCGTCTACCCCTACCTCAAGCCTATCCACAGGGCTTCTCCCAAAGTTTGGGGTGATGGAGAGGGTTTACATGACCACATTTCTAGGTGTTCTCTTCCTAAATATTACTGATTTTTCAGATTTTTTTTTTAGGTCAGACATGAGCCTCTCTTTAGGCATGCTTTAAGAATCAATAACTTGCTTTATTATGTAGGTAATTTTAGAGTTCTCCTTCTTTCTAGTTCTGGTCCTCTCTCTGCCTGTCCCAAACACATCCCTATTGGGAAAATGCAATATTCCCAATAGGTTCCTCCATTTCAGTGGTGTACCACGGGAGTGATGGAAATGAGATTGGGTGCAAGCAATCAGAGAGTGCCCTGTTGGTAAAGAATTTAAAAACAAGAATACACCTAACTAAATGTTGGTCTGCTTTCTATTATCATCATGCACCAGCAATTGTAAAAAATGTCAATGATAAAATACTCCTCTTGAGGCAAGGGAGGAAGCGGGATCTGGATGAAAGAAGGTGAATGGAGGAGCCAAAGATCACATAGGCATAGCTCATAGACACAGGCAACAGGGTGGCCATGGCCAGAGGGAAGGGGGGTTGAGGGTTGGGTGGAAGTGGGAATGAGGACATATGTTATAGTATCAACAATAAAAAAAAATACTCTTCTCTACTGGGCATGCTCCATTGTTACTCTTGTCCCCTCCCTCCACCCTGCCGGCACCTTGGTAAACAGCGCTCCACTTAGAAACCCAGAGTGGGCAGGCACCTTGAAATGTCCACTTTTTCTTCATCTCTGCCGGGGAGTCGCCTTTTCTAAGCACAGGGAACGTCCTCCTTCTCGTCATTCTTCCTTCCCTTGGCTTCTATGCGACCACTCTCTCCTGGTCTTTCCCCATCGACTCTGCCTACACTTCCTTTGTCTTTTGCCAAAATTGCCCATCTCCTTCCCTGAACAAGGCAGGAAGCGGCATTCTTAGTTTATTCCAAAGATCCAGTTACATGAGCAACTCTGGCCCGAGCTTCGCCATGCCAGTGCAGCTGAAGAAACAAGAGAGAAGCACCATGTTCCAGAGAGGATTCTCAGGCCCGGGGGGAGACATGCATCCTAAGAAGTGGCGTGAGGTGAGCAAGAAAGACAGAGAGTGGGTGGGTGCGTGGGGCAGGGAGGGCGAAGCAAGGCTGTCCTTTGGGACGTGAGCGAAGCCGGCTCTCCTGAGGTCTGTGGTGGACACATGCTACACAAGAATCTTGTGCAGGACTGTAGGAATGAGAAAAGAGATAGAGCAAATACTCCGTGGTAGAATTACATACTCCCTAGCGCAGTGGAAGATGGGAGTGTTTTACATAGAGAGGGTGGTGGGTTTCCAGGTCATAACGGCAAAAAGGACCAAGGGGAAGCACCAGGAGCAGGGGAGCAGCCACACAGCAGCCCGCGGGTCTCCCTCCTGCGCTTACCTTGATGTGGCACCGTGTGCGTCCTCCGAACAAGAGCTGCTCCTCGGTGGTGCCCAATCTCACACAGGGCCAGTTAAGGACACGCAGGAAGCCTGGCCTGCCCAACCGTGGCTTCATCCGCGGGCTGCCTCCTGGCTCAGTGTCGAGCAAGGGTTTTTGTGAGAGGCCAGTGTGTGATGAGCATCTCCAGCACCGTGGACAGGGCCAGAGTCAGGGCCCGCTGGCCACACCTGGGGAAGTAACAGGTGTTGCTGGTATCCCGGAGGGAACAGGAACAGGGAAGATTCAGCTCTTGTCTCGCGTGGGCTCACAGGTGTAGGGAAAGGCTGGACACCCACACGGTGGGCACTGACAAGGCAAGGTTCATTGTCTTCCGCTCTAGAGTGGAAGTCTTCAAACCCGCCTTACCCTCCATGACGGGTATCATTCCGGGAGACAGAGGCAGCGGCCACTTTGACCCAACATGAAGTGGGCATCTGAGGTCTTTCTAAAAGTGGGTCCTCAGCAGCCACTCTCTGCCCACTCCAATGCCTCTTTAGGGTGCTAAATCCCATGCCAGCTGGCCTCAGCCACGCCTCTCTGCCTCTATTCCTCCACCCATATCCCCCATCACCAGAGTCTGGGCATTATAGCATTGGCCCCTGGTTGGCATATGACAGGGGTGGGCAAACTTTTTGACTCGAGGGCCGCAATGGGTTCTTAAACTGGACCTGAGGGCCGGAACAAAAGCATGGATAGAGTGTTTGTGTGAACTAATATAAATTCAAAGTAAACATCATTACATAAAAGGGCACGGTCTTTTTTTTTTTTTTTTTTAGTTTTATTCATTTCAAACAGACCGGATTTGGCCCGCGGGCCGTAGTTTGCCCACGGCTGGCATATGACGTCACCAAATACCCTGCTCCAGTGAAGTTGAGAGCTTCTGCCAACTTCAGAGTCCCTGAGAATCAGAAGGGCTGCTAGGCTACAGGAGGGAAATATCCCATTTTTTTGGGCACCCTACCAAGGGAGAGAAAACTAACACGAGAAAAGATGAAAATCACACAGGATGAGGGTATTTATGTAAGTATGAGAAGACTACTTGAAAACTCTGGGTATGAGGAGTCCTTGAGAAGGCACAAAGTCCAGAAACCATGAAGGAAAAGATTGCTATACTCTCCAAGTCCTCACTTAACATCTTCGGTAAGTCCTGGACTCTAAGTGAAGTGATGTACAACAGGACCAGTTTCATCACAGGACAACTGATGCAAACAAGAGTCAAGTTCCTACAGCAACTCATTAAACATGATAACCAAACGACATTGAACAATATAACGTTATTCGAGGACTTCAGTATCTTTCAGAGAATCTCCTAGGGCTCCCATGGAAGCCTTATTTCCTCAGGCAACACATTCTGCTCAGCAGGGATCCCAGCTGAAGCAGAAAGTGTGAGTGGAGTGTGATCCTTTATGTCTGTTCTTTGTTTACTTGCAGTCAACCCACAGTGACCTCTTGTTGCTTATAGTTTTCAACTAGTATGTTGTTTCCTTCCACATCTGTAATTCTTTTTCCAGACCTCATTCAGGAAACAAGGGAGTCATGTGGCCATCTCCTGATGAATAAGCACAGATGTTCCAGGTTCTTTTCCATTAATTAGTATTGCTGTGCAGCATTAAGAAAACAAGACCTGTCCGTGTTTCGGGGAGAAATTTCATTCCTGAAATCCATGTAAAAAATATAGTTTTATCTAGATTTCACTCTGTTTCTGTTCGGAGCCCCAGCACCATCAGCACTGCCACTAATTCCCTAGGAAGAGTGGAAATTTAATCCCAGAATATTGTGGCCCTTCTCTGCCCCCCTCACAGCTCTTGGCCTCTGTGCCATTGGGAATTAATCATCGATTGTCCACAGACATATCACTGCCTGCTCACTGGTATCGAGTGTCCTAAGATCTCTCTGGAGTCCAAAGTGCTTTGTTAAATTTGCATAGTGTAATGATAACTATATTTTTCCAATGGGGGTGGGGGTGGAGAATGGGAGAACTCTCCCATCAACAAAATATAAATAGACCTTCCAGTTCTAACAGAGGCAAATGGCAGGTGCTGAAGACTACACTTTCAGGGACCACTGTTCATCCTGTGCTAGTAGAGACGTGTCTGAACAGAGCAGAGCATCGGGGCATTAGAAACCCCAGAAGAGCTGTGCAGTGGGCCAGTGGTGCCACCTGGTGGACCTCTGCCTTTCTGTTGAAAATTGTTCTTTTCTTCCTTAAGAGGCAGAGGACACAGATTGAGGGATTCTTTCTGATGTAACTGCTTGCATTTTGTTCTTCATTCTCATGGTTGTTTCATTTCCCGTCAAGGGAAGGGGTAACAACTGGTTATATTCCTTTATTTCAATTTCTTGTTTGGTGTATTTTGTAACAAAACGCTCACAAAGGTAAAGGAAAGGTTTAACTCCTCATTGATACTCTTTACCAAAAATTTCCTTTGTCAGGGAAAGCAGATTTTTTTTAAGGTAAGTAGATTTTTGTTAAATTCTCACCCACGGATATGTTTTTTGTTTTTAGTTGATTTTTTTTTTTTTTTTGAGAGGGAGAGAGAAACATTGACGTGAGAAACATTGATTGGTTGCCTCCCGTACACGCCCTGAATGGGAATCGAACCCGCACCCTTTTGGCGTATGGGATGATGCTCCAACCAACCAAGCCACTGGGCCAGGGCCATTCAGCTTATTTTTATATAACAGTATGTAATACTGTTAGTGTGTGTGTGTGTGTGTGTGTAATACTGTTTCATTTTTGAATCAGTATCTTCTCACTGAATGTCCACATCAGTACATGTGTATGTAGTGACTGTTTTTATCTCCTCATAGTACCTTGAATTCTGTCCTCAAAACATGGCCTTCTTCTCGGGCTGATGTCAGAGTTCGTGCATCTGCAGGATGGCAACGGCGAGTGTGGGGGAGGCTGCGGAGGTTGGCTACTTTTTGAGAACTTGATTTTCATCCCATGGAGAGCGTTAAACTGGGAAGAGACAAGGGCTCGGGATGCATTCTATACTGTCCTTCTAGCTCTCTATGTGGAGGACTGGCAGGGCTTGGAGGGAAGCAGAGGCAGGAAGAGCCAGGAGAAGGCAGTTGCAGCGGTTAGCAGTGATCCTGGGGAGAAATGATGGTGACCTAGATTAAAGTTGTAGATGGCAGAATAAGAAAAAATACGGATTCTCAAGATATTTGATGGTACCAGATGTAGTTTTTAGGAACTTTACAAAAAAAACACACACCACACGTCTATTTTGTCCCTTAGTAGCTGCCATAGGGCCGTAGAAGGCCACGATCGCGCACTGGTTGCTGGGAGTTGTAGTCTCTACCTGTGCCAGCAGGCATGGCGGCCTCCATGGCGGGAGGCTGTGGAGTAGCCATGGGTCTAGCCCGGAGCGTTGGAGCCGCCAGGGCGCTGCGCCCTGCGCCGACCTCCGTCGCTTGCTGTAAGTGGAGTGAGGCTTGAGGGCCGGGGCGCACAAGGAGTGCAGGGCCAGGCGGGGGTAGGCGAGACGTGAGGTCTGGGGCGACCTTGGCGGAGGGCCCTCGTGGGAACGGGAGCTGGGGGTGCTGACAGGGTCCCGGGAGCTCCGGACGGGCCGGCGCAGTCGTGACCCCTGTGTGTGTCCCCGCAGGCGCCCGCGCGGGGCCGGGCCGGCAGCAGAGCACTGGACCTTCGCAGCCCGACGCGTTCAAGCCGCCCCCCAAGCCAGTGATCGTGGACAAGCGCCGCCCCCCGCGCCCGGAAACCCGGTGAGGCCGGGACCGGGGCGCGGTTCCCGCTCGTGGGGTCTGCGCTCTTGCACCTGCGTTCGCTCCGGGGCTCGGCTCGAGCGGGGCCGGAGCTCCCGGTGCACGTGCGCGAGCTCCTGTGTCCCCCCAGCTCAGGCTTGTCTCCCTCGCTTCTTCCAAGCCGGGACTGACTTGCTCTGCAGCCGTAAATCGGAGCTTCAGCTGGGCATTCCCCAGGTTTGAAGCGCTCCCCACCGGCATGTGGCATTTCTCTCCGAAGCGTGTCCTATTTTCCCGTTTACGGCCAGGAGCCGCGCTCTCCTCGCCCGGGCAGAAAGGGGTTAGCCAGGACTCGGTGTTGTAGCTTCTCCACTCACTGTGTTTCAGTTTCCTGGCAAATGGGTACAGTGGTCAAAATTCCTGCCTATTTGGGTTTGAAATTTGCTCTTTAAAACAGGGTTTACTTAAAAGAATGGTGGTAGCTTTAGAGGTACATGTACATTTAGATGACTTAGGATCTGCAGAAAACGTTTCTGCAAATGTTCCTGTCGACCTAGTTAAAAAGCCAGGTTTGGGGTCGGGTGGGAGCTTGGTGTGTGTGATTAGAGGCTTTCTGAAAGGGGTCTAGGTTGCTGACTTATTATCTCTGCGTGCGTGTATGTGTGTTTGACATTTCAAATACTCGGTGGTTCTGAGTTGAAAAAAAGTTGAATTTATGGAATCTAGAAATTAAGAAAAGATTTCCTTATACAACTTTTTTAAAAAAATGTTTTTATTGATTTCATAAAGGGAAGGAGAGGGAAAGATGGGAACATCAATGATGAGAGAGAATCACTGATCGGCCGTCTCCTGCAAGCCCCACACTGGGGATCAAGCCCACAACCAGGGCATGTGTCTTGACCTGTGACCTCCTGGTTCACAGGTTGGCGCTGAACACTGAGCCACACAGGCTGGGCCAACTTTTTTTTTTTTAGGGTGGAAAAGGAATATCTCCCCTAAATTGCAGCATTTAATGTAATTCAGTTAAATTAAAAGCAAATTGCATAACTACCTTGGAAAAATATTTAACAATTTAGTATGCTTAAGGTTGTGTATACTTTAATTTTTTAAAAACATATTTTTAGTGATTTCAGAGAGCAAAGGAGAGAGAGAGAGAGAGAGAGAGAAACATCAGTGGTGAAAGAGAATCATTGATTGGCTGCCTCCTGCACGCCCCTCTACTGGGGATTGAGCCCACAACCAGGGCATGTGCCCTTGTCCGAACCTGGGACCCTTCATTCCGCAGGCTGATGCTCTATCCACTGAGCCAAACCAGCTAGGGCTGGGTTGTGTATACTTTTAGACCCACAAGAGTATAAAACTTAGAGAGTAGTAAGTACAAGAAATGTACAAGAATGCACACAAAAGTATTGTTTGTAACAAACAAAAATTAAGAAGCAGCCTAGATATCCATCCATAGTGGACTATTATACAGAAGTGAAAAATGAATGAGCTAGAGCTAATATGAACTCACAGAATGTGTGAAAAAAAGCAACCTGCAGAAGAACTGAGAGTATGATAGCTTTCTTATATTCCCAGGCATACATGCGTATGCAAAGTATAAGAAATGTATAGGAGGAATTCTCCACTTTCACAGAGCCGTCAAACCTAGCTTTCGCAATAGCTGTACAAGCTGACATGATGTGCCTGGTGATGTGGCAAAATAAGATCATATCGCCGAAACAGGTTTGGCTCAGTGGATAGAGCGTCGGCCTGCGGACTGAAAGGTCCCGGGTTCGATTCCGGTCAAGGGTTGCGGACACATCCCCAGTGGGGAGATGTGCAGGAGGCAGCTGATTGATGTTTCTCTCTCATCGATGTTTCTAACTCTCTATCTCTCTCCCTTCCTCTCTGTAAAAAATCAATAAGATATATTTAAAAAAAAAATAAGATCACATCATCACCTCTGTAATATTTTTACCAAAAATATTTAACCTTGGTCTAGTCATGTGGAAACAGGAAACAAATCCAGATTCCAGGGAAGGTATATAAGACAATAGGCTTTGACTCTTCTAAAAAGTCAGTGTTATAAAAATCCAAAGATGGGGAAGAGTTCTAGTTTAAGAGACGGAAGAGACTAACAGCCAGATACAATGTGTGCAGCTTGATTGTAGCTTAGATTGGGCAGAAAACAGCTGTAAGAGACCTTTTCCAGGACAATTAGGTACATTTAAATATGACCTATATATTAGATTATTGAATTAATGCTGAAATTCTTAGGTGTCATAAAGGAATTGTGATAAATGTAGGAGAATGTCCTTATTCTTAGCAGACACCTTCTGAAGTATTGAGGGATGAAATGCTTGCTGCTTGTCATTTTCAAATGGTTCAAGAAAAGAATTATACCTGTATAAAGCAAATACAGCAAAATGTTGGCAGTAGGTGAAACCAGGTGAAGTATATTTGGGTATCCATTATATTACTCTTTCAACTTTTGGTAGATTGGAAAATGTTCAGAGTAGGAAATTGAGAAAAGGGAAGACATTCATAGGAAAAATCATCACCAAATTTAGTTAATTACACTATAGTAATTTAGGGGGAGGGAGGGGTCACAAGGGCTTCAACCATATTGTTTGTTTAATTCTTGAGATGAGTGAGAGAGAGATGAATTTGCATTGCAATGCCATTCATACCTTTCTGTAGGTTAAATATAATGAGCTTGGAATCAGTTAAAGAGACTAGGGAAATTATTTTTAAAGTCAGCTTGCCATTGATGATTCCTATGTTTATATCCTTTCCAACATAATTTATTATAACATATACAACTCAACATGAGGCCTGTGGTTATGGTCACAGGCTTTGGAGTCTGACAAGACATTTAAATCTTGACTTGATAAGTTTATAGCTAATATAATTAGAAGGTTATTCATCTTCTCCAAGCTTCATTTTCTTCATCTGTGAAAAGGAGGTAAGGACACCAAGCCCACCTGGCTGTTGTAAGGTTTAATTTATGCTATAAATGTTTAATAAAACTTTTAACACAATGCCAGGTGAGTACTCAGGATTATTAGCTATTTTCATAAGCACTGACAACAATTTTATAAATAAGACTGATTTTTCTTATTTAGAGAATAAAACACTTCAAAATCATAATCTTAATTTATTTATTTATTTTTTAAGAAAGCAGCAGATTCTTTTTTAATGGTCTTTAAAGTTTGCTTTTATTTTATTTGTCCCCCTACAGGTTCTTGAGTCCTGAATTCATTCCTCCAAGAGGAAGAACAAATCCTCTGAAATTTCAAATAGAAAGACAAGATATGTTAGAAAGGAGGAAAGTGCTCCACATCCCAGAGTTCTATGTTGGTCAGTAAGAGCTGGGTGCTGTTGTTATTAGTGGCTGGAGGGTCAGTTTTCTTGGCATAGAGAGGATTGTTTTTCACATGCCTGGGTTTGGCCAGATGAGGTACTTATTTCTAGTAGTATACTAAAATCTTTAGGGAGTTCTGAAGTTACCTAGAAATTCTGTTGCTTATTTCTGCATCTTACATTTTTGAATCCGTAGGAAGCATTCTTCGTGTTACTACGGCCGATCCATACGCCAGTGGGAAAACCAGCCAGTTCCTGGGGATTTGCATCCAGAGGTCAGGAAGAGGGCTTGGAGCGACGTTTATCCTCAGGAATACTATTGAAGGACAAGGTAGGCTCCTTCCCATTCTTTGGATTTTCTGGAAAATGTCACCTCAGGACTCCTTTTTGTTTCCTGCTCCTGGGATAGGACATCTGCAACGTGAAATTGCAAGGGGGCTCCGAGGGATGACAAGGACCCTGCGGACTAAGAATGGTCTGAAAATTGAGGTTGCTGATTAAATGCAGTTGGTGCTTTGCTTTCTCTGGAAGGCTTCTTGTGTCATAAGGTCAACAACTGTTAGAAGTAGACTTCCCAGACTATGGCAGTATCACAGGAGGAGACAAGGGACTAAAGCAGTTATTTTAGGAGCAAATAACCCTTGAGAACACTATAAACATAATGACATCCTATGAGTTACTTTCTCCTAAAGCGAATGGTCCCAATTTGCTTTCTATTACAACAGTCACCACAAGATCAGTTTTATAAGAACCAGAGAACTTTCTTTAAAGGCAATATTCCATTTGCTTAATAAGGCAGAGGAACAAGTGGTGATAGTTTAGACAGATGACGAATCACAGTGGCGGAACAGTAAAGTTTCATCCTTAATGTTTGTCCCTCATGATCTCCAGCAGCGAAGTATTGAATTCCAAAGAAACTGAACAAGGGGAGCTGCTGTCTTTTATCCTCTAATGACCTGGGGTGCTGTGCATGTAAGAACTCAGCTGGAATTGATTGATTACAGAAACTGGTGCCTCCATTCAGGTCCTGTGCTTGGAGAAACCGTGTCACAGAAAGACATGAGCACAGGTGTGAGTCAGACAGAACTAGGTTTTTCTGTTTTAAAATTGAGATAATAGTTTCCACTTCTCAGTTGTAGTCAGTTGATTGTGATGTTGTATGTGAAGTTCTGGACACAATGCTCAAAAGTGTTAGCTCCTTCTTGTCATTCTTTACATTGTGGCTGTCGGCCACCTAGACCTTCCCCAGCGATCCTCCTTTTTTTTTGGTGGTTCTTTCTAGTCCAGTGGCTTCACTTAAATCCATTTACTTAAACCAAAAATTTAATAGCTGTTTTTAATTCTCTTTCATACACCCAGTCAATCAGCAGGTTTTTATGGCTCAATCTCCCAAAAAGTATATCTCAATTTTGTCTACTTTTCCATCTCCTTTGCTACCACTCTCATCCTTGCCACCACCTTCTCCTGCTTGTAACTGTGTAGTGTTGCTGGTTTAATCCCTTCCTCACCAAGTTACTGTGTTCCAGACAAATGGGCCTTTTTCTGGCTTTTCAAACATGGCAAATTTGTTAAAACCCGGGCCTTTGCCTTCCCCATTCGTTCTGCCTGGAGCCTCCTTGGCCCTTCATTGTGTGTTAAATGCCACCCTTCAGAGGCTGTGCCTGGCTGTACTGTTTGAAGTTGCCCCTCCCCAGTCACAGTGCCGTCAGCCTGTGTTGTTTTCACTACATGACATTCCCTTGTTGGCTTATTTATTGTCTGTCATCCACTGACATGTAAGCTTTATGAGAAGGCTCTTGCTATTTGGGTTTTGCTGTGGGCACAGCTCCCAAATCAGTGCCTGAACCAGAATAGTTGTACAGTAAATACTGGAGTAAATCCTGGTCTTAAACACTAGATGTTAGTGTAGATCATATATTTTACTGTTTATATTTATTTTGGGATTATTCAGGAGAGCTCAGAATACACTCTTGCCCTTAAGCATTTGATGATACAGATGCTGCATTTTCAGCTATCACTTGTAGCCTCTTGGAAACACTCAAGGCTGTTCTTAGCTTGCTTCCTGTGGAAGGCTCCAGAGTGTTAAACACCTAGGCCATCCTCAAGAGGGCTTCTAAACCAGTTACAACTTAAAAATGTACTTTTTTCCCCTCATCATTAATCCTGTTGTTTTTAATGTAGAAGATAGAACTTTATTTAAGTAATTGGGAAATAAACCACATGATGGTGAAGAATTTACTCAACTTTTCTCCAACTAAGTTAATGCTATCAGAATTGGAGATGTTGACTCAGAATATGTATAGAAGACATTCTTTTGACTTTATCATTCTAATTCATATTTTCTTATTTTTAATCTATATAGATTTTACTTTATTTCTATTTCTTTCAACCATCTTCATTTTAAAGATTCAAATTTATGCTACATTTCCTACATGCAAAAACCCTGCGTGAGTTCCTTTACGACAAAGCTTTCACTATAGTGGGAGGCTCCTGCAGGGATCTGGCTGTAGGTTGTAAGAATGTTTTCTTCTCTCCGTAGGTGTTGAGATTTGCTTTGAACTTTACAATCCTAGAATCCAGGAGATCCAGGTGGTCAAATTAGAGAAGCGGCTGGATGACAGCTTGCTGTACTTACGAGATGCCCTTCCTGAGTACAGCACTTTTGATGTTAATATGAAGCCAGTACTGCATGATTCTGGCCAAGAAGTTCCTATTAATCAGGTATGAGTTGTACATTTGGAACTGGAAGTTCAAGTATAATATGAGCCATCTTAATGAAAACTTTTCGAAGAATTTTGCTTGTGACTATCAGCCTAATTTATTCCTTTTTTTTTTTTTTTAAAATATATCCTCCTTAGCTGAAAGTAAAGATGAAGCCGAGGCCCTGGTCCAAACGCTGGGAGCGCCCAAAGTTTAATATTAAAGGAATCAGATTTGATCTTTATTTAATTGAAGAGCAAATGAGAGAAACTCAGAAGTGGAGTCAGCCATAACTTGAGTTTGATATAATGAGGGAATATGATACTTCAAAAATTGAAGCTGCAATATGGGATGAAATTGAAGCATCAAAAAAGTCGTGATCTAAACATGTATTTAGCTCCTTGCAGAAGATGTACTGACTCTCAGAGTATTTTTTTAGAGACCAGTTTAATTTCATATATAAGGACATATCATTAAATCAACTATTCATTATATGAGTACTGTTATAAAAAAAATAAAATTAGCACATCAGTTTATTACTTTAAAAAGAGAAATGTACATGCCAAGTGGTCTGGTGTCTATTCTGTTACTGGAGGCAGAGCTACAATAGAGTCAAAGTATTATAGAATCCCCTAATGTAAGCCTGAAATCTGAACAAGGAAGTAGGTAACAGCCCTGACAGTGGGATCTGCCCCATCAGGCAGGCACAGCCCACCCTACACCTCCACTCAGTAGTGCCAGGGCAACACAGGTAGAATGTGTCTCCTTGTTCGGAGTCATCAGAGTCCCCATTCCCACTCACCTAGTACCCAGCCCTTCCAGTGAAGTGAGACGGAGCAGGAGCAAAGGCCAGCGGCGGGGCAGGACAGGTGGCAGGACATAGTCACCTCGGGAGGCACTGGGATAGAGAAGAGGGTGGGAGAGAAGGTATCTAACTCCAACTCCCTGGGTCTCCCAATCTCTGTCCTCCCCTCTCACAAGTCCCCCTGAACCAGTGCCCACAGCCAGGCCAGGAGACCACGGCTATAGGGGCTCCGGCCTCACAGGTCTCCATGTCTATTACCCTTGGATAAGACCCGAATCAGTTTCTACAACCTAAATCGGTCCTTGTCTTAAGTGCTTACAATGCTTCCAGAGCTTCCCATCCCCCTGTGGGGTGAAGTCTACTAAAAGCAGACTCCAGAGCCCTGAATGAGCAGGCAGCTGAGGAATTGGACTGAGAGAGTTAGACTCACCAAACTGAGCTAAGAGAAGGAAAATTTAGAGAAAGAACCACTGAGCCAAGATCCTGGCTAAAAAAGTGGAACTTGAATCAAGGGAAATTTGAGAGAAGTGCTAGCCTAGATGTGCCCATTGGACACCTAAGGGCCTTCTGCACTGAGTAGCTCCTCCTTTCCTTAGAAATGCTTTTAAAGCCAAAGAGGTGATGGGTGACAAAAAGAGCTTTAAAAAACTGGTGATGTCCTACAGAGCAAGAAACAAATTTTACTTTTCCTACCATACTCTGTTGAGCTGTCATATACTTGAGGGAAATGCATTTTAGCGATGTAAAAATCAACATATCCGGCCCCTCCCTACTCGAAAGTATCCACTATGAATACGGAGAATATGGGTGCGAACGCCAGGGATGTCAGGAGGAAGAGTGACCCTGACATGGGGAAGAGGCACAGGTGAGTGAGGCCCCACTGAAGGGCGGTGTCATTTTCTTTTTTTTCTTGGGCTCTTTGCTTAGGCTCAGGACTGGACTTGAGGAAAGAATTCCAGTTTACTTCCCCTTTATTGAAACTAGGCAACCATAGCACATATTTTACAAATTGTTTCACTTGGGTGAAACTGCACTTTGGAATTCTATCATAAGAAAAATCTTGGAAAAGATACAGACAGTAAATGTAGTTTTCTGCTTGTCATTATGAAGCATAATTGTCTTCAGATTATACTAGAGTATGAGTACAGTCGAGAGTAACTTTCTAGCTTTTTTGCTTATCTCAGTGCACATGAAAAATGACATTTTTAGAGCGTTTATACCAGTAAAGAATTTAAGGAAGTGAGAGTCATGTTTTAAAATAGGAGCCTTGCATTTATTTTAAAAGATGAAAAATTTAAAAACATAGGATTTACTTTTTAATAGCCTACCGTGTGTGTTGTGTGTCATGACTTCTTTATCTGTTGATGGACACTTAGGTTGTTTCCATGTCTTGGCGGCTGTAAATAATTGTTATAATCCTTCAAGATATATACCTTGAAGTGGAAATGCTAGATCATGTGTTAGTTCTATTTTCAATTTTCTGAGGCTTCTCCATACTGTTTTTCCATAGTGGCTATAACAATTTGCAGTCCCACCAGCAGTGCAAGAGGGTTCCCTTTTCTCTGCATCTTTGCTTGCATTTGTTATGCCCTTTGAAGGAGAGCCATTCTCACATGCATAAGGTGATACTGTGATTTTGATTTGCATTTTCCTGAGGATTAGTGATGTTCAGCACATTTTCATGTACCTGTTGTCCATTCCTATATCTTACTTGGAATCTATTAATGTCCTTTGCCCATTTTTAAATTGGATTGCTTGTTATTTTGCTATTGAGTTATAAGAGTTCTATATTTTGTGGCCTTGTAAGAGCCACAAAAGTGTTTTATTCTCCTCTAAATAAGAAAATACTACAAACAGTATTCTGCTGTTGTTGGATGGAATGTTTTGTATATGTCTATTAGCTCCACATGGTCTCTAATGTTCAAATCCACTGTCATTCTTTGTCTGAATGATCCATCTGTTGTTGAGAGTTGGGTACTAAGTTCTCAACTTTTATTATATTGCTGTTTATTTCTCCTTTTAGCTGGTAATTTTAAATGTTTAGTTGCTTTGAGTGCATAAATATTTACAATTATATCTTCTTGATGGATGGACCCCTTTATCATTACAGAATGACCTTTTTTGTCTCTTTTATCATTTTTAAAGTTCATTTAGTCTGATACAAGTATAGCTACTCCTGCTTTTTTGTGTGACCATTTTTAAAAAAAATGTATATTTTATTTTTTACTGAGAGGAAAGGAGAGGGATAGAGTTAAAAACATCGATGAGAGAGAAACATCGATCAACTGCCTCCTGCACACCACCTACTGGGGATGTGCCCGAAACCAAGGTACATACCCCTTCAGTCCGCAGGCCGACGCTCTATCCACTGAGCCAAACCAGTTAGGACTTTGTGTGACCATTTGCTTGAAATATCTTTTTCTGCCCGATTAGACTCAGTATATGTCTTCCTTTTTTTTTTTTTTTTAAATCCTCATCTGAGGATATGTTTTTATTGATTTTGAGAGAGAGAGACAGAGAGAGAGAGAGAGAGAGAGAGAGAGAGAGAGAGAGAGATTGATTGTGTGAGAGAAATATCAATTGGTTGCCTACTGTACATGCCCCGACTGGGGATTAAACCTGCAACCTAGGTATGTGCCTGTACCAGGAACTGTACCCACAACCTTTTGGTGTACAGGACGATGCTCCAACCAACTGAGCCACCCAGCCAGGGCAATGTATGTCTTTTTAAATTTTATTTTTATAAAAATTTATTTCCAATTTATGAAAAGCAAGCGAACTTTCTCTGCCCAAGCTAAAAATATCAGAACACATCCAACACATCAATAAAAATGCAAAGTCAGAGGGAAGTTTCCAAATGTGTATTACTTAAAGAGTAAAAAATTTTACAAATTTCATATGCAATAGAGCAATAAAATACTGTCATTTATGTAAACAACACAGCTACACACACACACACACACACTCTTGCTCTTGTAAAAAGAGAAAAGGTCTGAAAGAGTAACACTGAGTAACACCGAAATGAAAACAGCAATTACCTCGGGGAACAATAATTGTGTGGGAATGCTAAATGCTTTTCAGCAATGGTTTGAATCTTTTAGATGAGATTCTATTCCTGTATAATTTGTGTAATAAAATAAACTTAAAAAACACATTAATCCATTAAAATATATGCAGCTTCGAAGTTAGGGGTGACAGTGTCAGAGGTCAAATGCTGAAATCCTACAAAAAAATCCATTTTTTTCCTGATAATCTTTAGGGTTGCCACTGAATTATTTTACAAATAGATTTAAGAAATATTAGTAATCTCTACTTTGAAAAAGATTCAACTCTAACCCTTGCCTCAGACTTTCTTAATTATACAAATATTTTATCCAGAAAATGAATTACATGGTCTGATACTTAAAATACCTATTTCTTATCTAAATTGGCTTTTTACGACAAAAACTACCCAACAAGTAATGTCTTATTATACCAAAATATACACAAAATTAAATGAAAAATGGCAACTGACACAGGACATGCAAAACATTATCTTTAAATATATGAAGCTCTCATAAATCCATAGGAAAACAATGAATGAACATGTCAAAAAGAATTACAAATGGCCAAAAAATAAGTATTCACTCTGTAATAGCCCAAACACATAATTCAAATAAGATATTTTCACCTATTAAATTTGCAGTTAAAAAATGATTGCTGGGGGATTCATTGGCCTCTCTTGCATTTGTGTTGGTACAATACATTGGTATATATTTCTGAAGGACAATTTGATAATCATTAATTATCAAAGCCTTAAAAAGCCGTAATCAGTTAATACTTAACAAATCATTCATTCATTCCAATTAAGATTTCCATTTAAACTGATTTGTAAATAAAGCTTTTGATTTACACTTTTAAATAATTAAATTGAAGAGAACTAAAAGGCATTTTTGTGGACCAGGACAGAAGACTCGCTAAAGTCAAAGCAGCTACAAGCAAGGTCTCGCCAACTTCTCCCTTAAATTGGAAAAGCTGCCACAAGAATCAAAGGGAAATACGTATGTTAAACTCTTAACTGCCCATGTGCTTCATTTCCACAGAATCAGGAGGGCAGCCTTTCCTGAAACAGGGAGTGAAGGGATGAAACCCGTGCTTTGTTTTGTTTTCAAATCCTTGACTCCATTACTAGGAATAAAGAAGCACCAGCTTTTTTCGCCCCCAGCAAAGGAGCAGAGTGTGACTGTACTAAATCTACGTTAGTACTTCCCTATAAAGTTTACTCAAACTTGGTTAATTACTGGTTTAAGATGGTCTAGGTGATACTCTTCTATGAACGATTCTGCTTGATTTAAAGCTCTTATTTTCACCAGAATAAGAATTATTTCTTTGACTTCATCCCTGAAAAACAAAAAAAACCACAACGCATTTCCCCCTTAAAAATGCAATGTAGGAGAGCACAGTGAATCATCATTTGTTTATCTGAAACAAAACTTTACCTTAAACCAGTATCTAAAATAGCATTATACATTCAGATGCTACTACTTTCTCCACATACTTATAAATTCATACTATTTTGTGTATTGTATTCTGGCACATTTTAATGTGAATGTCAAATCCAGAAAAGCACAGAGCAGATCTGTCATCAGAAATCTGAGTTGTGGTATGCTGCTACCAGCTTCTATGGGCTAGTTTGGTGGGAGCCTCAGTGGGAGTATTTACCCCACAGGCATCATCTAAAGCCACAACACAGGTCTGGGCTTTCTAGTTTCGGAGACGTGGTTCACTAGATCACTATTGTTCTTAAGCCCCAAACATCCAATGTTATGAGTAAGATATGCAAAACAGAGATCTGGCTACTGTGGGTAAACACCAGGCTGCAAACTGCAGACCTGTACTTAAAAAGTGTTGAGACTTTAAAAATGGCCAGGAAAATTAAAAAACATATTAAAAAAAACATGCTTAATTAAAAACTTTTGATTTACATTTTTTTTAAATTTACATTTTTAATCCTAAGTTCCCCTGTGCTATAGTTTTCTGGAAGTGCTTATTTTGGAAGAGATTTACATTTAAAAATATTAACTATATAGATGCATGAGGTGTGAGTATAAAATAGTGATTCCAAAGGTTGCACATAAAAATACCTACTGATTCTACAGCAATAGTCTCAACAGGTTTGTAAAAGTATAAGTCTTTCTAAAAACTGCTGAGAATATAATAGAATCCTTGAGCTATGCTTATGGAGGTACAATTAAATATGCATTACCTGAATTCACTTCTAGATAGTTTATGTGCAGACTGCAATAAAAACTGGATAAAGTTTTCTAGCTGGGAAATAGATGTTCTCATAGCAGAATTTCCAAACCATTTTTCTGGTAAATATGCTGCTATCTGTTAATCAAAACACATGGTTGGTTTTAATAATGACAGTTATCATCTAAGAACTTCTGCTAACATGGTGCCAGTTAATCTTCATAATGATCATGCAGGTAAATTTTGAGAATTTTTCCTTTCTTTGTCAAGGGGTTATACACTTTTTAAGCAATTATATTTTAATACTAAGAGGTTAAAATAGACTACTCTTTACGAATACCTTCTAGTGGTACTTGTAATACTTCCTATACTCTGTATTCCTGAGCCATTAAATCTGTACAAAACACTACAACTAAACACTAGAAATGCCCACACATAACACTTTTAGTTTACACAGCTATAAAACACATTTAGTATTATTTCACTAAGATATTGGGTGATCTAGCGATGGGGGAAGGGCACACAATAAGAACAGGACCACAGTTGTTTAATGATTATTCACCTTACTAACTATAAGGAAGAGGTTTTCCTACAGACCCTGGGAAATTGGGCCGTGCTACAAGAAGAAAGCAGGGCTGTAAACGGAGAGAGACACCTGGGCTCGATGGTTCCATTACTCAGAAAAGAATACATTTTGAGAACAGATAAAGGACAGGAGACACTTTCATTTGGTTGCTATGCTTGGACCCTGACCCCCTCTGGTAGTTTGCCTCAGGAAGGCTGACCATTCTAAGGTCCCAGGAACAGGTGGATCTGTTGCTAACATCACAGAAAATTAACTACCTTGTTATCGGACTTCCAGGATCCTGGACCACAGACACTGAAGCCATCCCTCCCCCTTTCCCCCTTGCATGCAGCCTTTCTTCCTTATCTATATATATAAAATCATAATATGCAAATAGACCGAACAGCAGGACAACTGGTCACTATAATGTGGACTGACCACCAGGTGGTGCACGTGGGACATGGTGGGCATTAACAGCAGTGGGATGGTGGAGCAAGTGAGCAGGGGCACCAGACCAAGGTGGGGTGCTGGTTGTTATCGGGGTGAGCCTCTGGTGGTTACTGAAAATTCTTTGCTCCCACGCACCACAGCCCTGCCAGCGCTTGCACCTGCTACCAGTGCCAGCCCTGCTCCCACCTGCTGCCGGCGCCTGGCATGGGCCCCAATCTGCCCTCAGGGCTTCTCCACCTCCCCGTCCTCCTGAGGGGCAATTGGGGTCAGCAGCCGCCTCTCACACCTGCTGCCAGCGCCGGCCCCACTCGCACCTGCAGCCAGTGCCAGAGCTGCCACCTGCACCCACTGCCGGTGCCCAGCACTGGCCTGATTGCTCAGCGTTGTCAGCGGGTGCAAGCGGCGGCTGTGGGCCCCAATCGCCCCTGAGGACTTTTCCACTCCCCACCTTGGCCTGGCACTGATAAGCGGGGGCTCAGGGATGAGGTACTCCAGGCTGCCTGGGATCCTGCCTCGACTGCTATCACCATCGTCTTCCACCAGCGCTCCCAAGAAGAGCAGCGGGGCCTCCGCTGATAACTAGTCTGGGTGCAGCTGTTAAGAGGGAGGAGACAGGGAGAGGGGCTCCTTGCCCTATAGGCCCCTACTGGATTTTGTTCTCTGGGAGAAAAATCATCAAGAAGGGCTGCATGATGTTGGCCCCCCACCTCCCACCCTGGTTCCCCGGAGCCCACCAATTGATCACTCCACAGAGGGTGGCCTGGGTCTCCCTCTTTGGGGCAATTGCAGAGCCCTTTACCCCATCAATCACCCCCGGCTGGTGGCCTGGGCCTCCCTCTGTGGGAC